CTTTAGAAATGGTTTGAACAGCCATTAAAGGTAATGTGCAGGTAATACAGTAGGTATGGTCAGGGATGTAGCTCAGTTGATAGAGCATGGCGTTTGCAACGCCAGGGTTGTGGGTTCGATTCCCACAGGGGGTATGAAAAAAATAATGTATGCACTAACTAACTGTAAATTGCTCTGGATAAGAGCGCCTGCTAAATGACTTAAATGTAAAATGTAGGTACAAAGGACTGAAATCACAACTCTCTCGTCACTGAGCTAGAATAAATAAATCAATAAGGACCGGTGGTGGGGGAGGGGGAAGGCCTTGGGGATTTACCGCTTCCTCAAAGGGCAGGGCCCCTCTTTCCTGATTAGACATTAATGAGCCATTAGAAACAAACTGCAATACACAAACTGTGCCTCCCTATGCAATACACCCACGGCCCTGCTATGTGTTGTGGAGCTGCTCCACTGTACCACAGCCAGCAGTAAGAAGTGTTAAAGGACAGTCATAATGTAACCCGACACCTACGACTTTTGATCTGTAAAGAGATTAGATCTCAGTGTCTAATGAGGTGGAGGTCTGTTAGAGCACGGGTAGTTGCAGTCAACAGGGCTGAATGGGTCATGATAGGTCCCAATACAAAAAAAGCATTGGATGAAGAGATCACAGAGATCACGCAGAGAGGCAGGGCAGCCTCAGGAAAGACCATAAGGGACAGCAGCAGCAGAGTGTAGACTCTTATAATTCAATCTAGAAAGAGGCATACATTAACAGAACCCAGCTAATTGAAAGGCTAGAGGAAGGTGACAGGTACTTTGTTGCTCCTGCTTCAAATGACAAATCTTTAATGTGATTAATAAAAGAGCAAACCAGATGGCATCATCAGGTTAAGTGAAGAAGTGAATCAAAATATGAAGCTTCATTTTAACCGTTCTGTTAATTTAATTAGATAAATTAGGCTTTTCCTTTTTCTTTGGATCTTTCTCTGTTTTCTTTGGATCTTTCTCTGTATTCTTTGGATCTGTCTTTCCAATTATTGAATTGTCTTTAAGATAAATGGGCTATAACTAAAATAGAAGCTTTGTCAAATGTCCTTGGGGAGCCTGAAAACAGGAGCACAGTCAGAACAGCAGGTACCGTCTGCCTGAGAAGAACACCACTGTCTAACTTGTTTATGCAAAAAGGACCTGTCGCTACAATGGAATTTCTGCTTTCGTAATCTCCTGCAATGCTGTGGCCGTGCCAGAGCGAGGCCAGGCCAAGTATGGTTGGCTCTGCTGTTATTTATCTTCCTGGCCGCAGTTAAGAAGTCCTGATGATGTTTTCCCTAACAGAGAACCATCCACCACAAAAGCAGCATGATGATGCAATACCCCAAACTTGCCCTTTTCTTTCCACTGACTGAATCACAATTACAGCAGTGGGAACAGACCAGATTTCTGGAAGCGTCTGTCTGTTATTAATGCCAGGAACTTCACTGTACTGCGTTCTGTGGTCTGATAGTTGAAGGGCCAAACTCCAAAGGAGCCATTGAAACCCCTAGAAGCACTGCTAATCCAATTACCTACAGACATACAGTACCAGTCAAAATTTTGGACACACCTACTCATTCAAGGATTTTTCTTTATTTTTACTTTGTAGAATAATAGTGAAGACATCAAAACTATGAAATAACACATATGGAATCATGTAATAACCAAAACAGTGTTAAACAAATCAAAATATATTTCATATTTGAGATTCTTCAAAGTAGCCATCCTTTGCCTTGATGACAGCTTTGTACACTCTTGGCATTCTCTCAACCAGCTTCACCTGGAATGCTTTTCCAACAGTCTTGAAGGAGTTCCCACATATGCTGAGCACTTGTTGGCTGCTTTTCCTTCACTCTGCCGTCCGACTCATCCCAAACCATCTCAATTGGGTTGAGGCGGGGGATTGTGGAGGCCAGGTCATCTGATGCAGCACTCCATCACTCTCCTTCTTGGTAAAATAGCCCTTACACAGCCTGGAGGTGTGTTGGGTCATTGTCCTGTTGAAAAACAAATTATAGTCCCACTAAGCCCAAACCAGATGGGATGGCATATCGCTGCAGAATGCTGTGGTAACCATGCTGGTTAAGTGTTCCTTGAATTCTAAATAAATCACAGACAGTGTCACCAGCAAAGCACCCCCACACCATAACACTTCCTCCTCCATGCTTTACGGTGGGAACTACACATGCGGAGATCATCCGTTCACCCACACCGCGTCTCACAAAGACACAGCGGTTTGAACCATAAATCTCCAATTTGGACTCGTCAGACCAAAGGACACATTTCCACTGGTCTAATGTCCATTGCTCGTGTTTCTTGGCCCAAGCAGGTCTCTTCTTGTTATTGGTGTCCTTTAGTAGTGGTTTCTTTGCAGTAATTTGACCATGAAGGCCTGATTCACACAGTCCCCTCTGAACAGTTGATGTTGAGATGTGTCTGTTACTTGAACTCTGTGAAGCATTTATTTGGGCTGCAATTTCTGAGGCTGGTAACTCTAATGAACTTATCCTCTGCAGCAGAGGTAACTCTGGGTCTTCCTTTCCTGTGGCGGTCCTCATGAGAGCCAGTTTCATCATAGTGCTTGATGGTTTTTGCAAATGCACTTGAAGAAACGTCCAAAGTTCTTGAAATGTTCTGTATTGACTGACCTTCATGTCTTAAAGTAATGATGGACTGTCGTTTCTCTTTGCTTATTTGAGATGTTCCTGCCATAATATGGACTTTGTCTTTTACCAAATAGGGCTATCTTCTGTATACCCCCCCCCCCCCCCCCCACCTTGTCACAACACAACTGATTGGCTCAAACGCATTAAGAAGGAAAGAAATTCCACAAACTAACTTTTAAGAAGGCACACCTGTTAATTGAAATGCATTCCAGGTGACTACCTCATGAAGCTGGTTGAGAGAATGCCAAGAATGTGCAAAGCTGTCATCAAGGCAAAGGGTGGCTATTTGAAGAATCTCAAATATAAATATATTTTGATTTGTTTAACACTTTTCTGGTTACTACATGATTCCATATGTGTTATTTCATAGTTTTGATGTCTTCACTACTATTCTACAATGTAACATTTTTTACAAATAAAGAAAAACCCTTGAATGAGTAGCTGTGTCCAAACTTTTGACTGGTAGTGTATAAGCTATAGCCTCTTTGTAAACTAGGCCTATTCTGAGCTAGCCCCCTCACGTATGCAACTGACATGGAAGGACAGCACATGACCTCCAAACCCAGTAGTGGTGGCCCCCTATCAGTTATGATAGCAATCTCTTGAAAATACATGGCTGGAGCGAATACCCACTTGACAGGAAGCCCCATTGCCTCCAGTCCATGTTCCCCAGGACATTTTGTATCATGGGTTACCAAGACAGCCATGTCTACATGACTCCAGCATCAAGCTACGCCACTGCACTATTTACAGACTGCTATTTATTGGACTAAGATCAATCAATCAATCAAATGTATTTATAAAGCCCTTTTTACATAACAAAGTGCTATACAGAAACCCAGCCTAAAACCCCAAACAGAAAGCAATGCAGATGTAGAAGCACGGTGGCTAGGAAAAACTCCCTAGAAAGGCAGAAACCTAGGAAGAAAGTTATTGGTTTATCATTGCACTATTCACAGACTGCTATGTTCCCAACACAAATGATAGTGTTTCATAACCCTTCCATGTGAGTGTTGATGCAGAGGGTGATTCAATCAACATCAAACTGTGACTCACAGAGGTCAGAGTTAATGTAGGGAGACTGAGGCAGCAGGCAGGCAGGGGGAGAAATGCTCCCAGAGAATATTTAGGGATATTTAGTGCTGCCAAGTTACATTGCGAAGAGTGACAATTTCATGGCTGTAGCTTCAGGCAATGTCTCTAGCAGTCATTCAACACTGTGTGTGCGGCTGAAATGTTTCCATTTTAAGGCAAAGATGATCTCCGACTCCCACTCATAGGGCTGTCTAGAAGTCACCATGGCACAGGCACAGGAAGCTGCCCTCACCCACATGCTTACACACACTTACACACATGCGCGCGCACACACACACACAAACACCCACACACACACCATCTGACTCAGCTCAGGACCACACCAGTACTGAAGCAGTACATCCTCTCTTTGGTCACACAAAGACATGACTTTGAATGGAACATTTATCAGTTATTTTTCACATGTGCAACTCAAGCACAGGCCATTAAAAGCTGCCTGTGCAGAACTAATGATCCATGTGTTTCATTGACATGAATAATGTGAAATGCTCCTCTGTGTGTGTGTTAGTGACACATGCATGCATGTGTGTGTTTAAGTGACGCATACCGGGAGAAGTTATATCAATAGCTGGACAAAAGGCCTTGCCCACTTAATTTCCATCCTTTTGGAGCTTTGTCATCAATGTTAGGCCATTTTTTCCTGATACTTGCAATGTGTTGAACATAGCTAGCTAATGAAAGCGCTCTTCTAATTTTCAAAATCTATTTCTCCCCTTTTCCATGGTTGCAACATCAAACTGAAATTTTATAACCCATAACCCGTCCCATGTGCGTGCCATCCAGAGAGCATGCATTGTGAGAAATGGTGCAATACCATCACTGCTATTGAGTCATAGGAGGGGTGTGGCAAACCCTGTCCAACATATAGTTGGGTTTATAGTGGCATGTTTTCTGTTATTAAATAACATTCCCAATGTCCTTTTGGACAAATTAAATTACATGTGCCAACTCTGGCATGTGGACAAAATTGTTTAGAAAACATTTGGTCAGAGCAAATTTGGATTTTGTCACAGAATTACTATATGGCCAATGACTCGCAACACACATTGTAACTTCAGATTTAAGTTGCACGATTCGTTTGTTCCATATGTAAACTACGCGAGTGACTATTGCGAGGTTCACCCGCCGATGTCGTCAAACCAGTGGGTGGAGCTACGATGTTGCAATCATGCTCAGTTGCGCATCATCAACTTCAATGCTGTAACAGAAAGGATATTTGAAGCCACTGCGCTCTCCGGTCTATTCTTAATCAGACGGGCAGTCGGTGGGGGCACGTCTGATTAGAAATCTACTTTTTAGGGACTCAATTTACAAATTAAAGGATTACTACGCAAGTGACCAAATAAGGGGACGTGTAGCCTACTCTTCCCTATGACCAATAATTATTTATTATACGAGGTTCCATACTTTGGACGAGTATGCGCTATGTTTTTCATTATTGTTTAAGAGCCTTTAAACAATTTTAAAGGTTTGTGTTTTCTCGGTTTATAAAAAAAGTTTCGAAGGTTTTCTAATAGCCTACGGTTTAGAAAACCTGTCATCGAAAGGAAAAACTTTCGATACACAAGTCGCTACCACACAGCCGGAATAAGGAACAAAAGCATCTGTACCAACAACACAGGCGGTGTTGCCGCCACACTTCAAAGCGAAATAACCTGTTCAATTTGTCAATGACTTTCATACCTCTTCTGCTTTGGCTCAGTGAACAGACATCCTGAGCAAGAACCAACGAAAGCTCATTTGAACTCTTATTTTATGCATACATAGCTAATTTGTAACTGTTTAAGTTACAAAGACTGCCTTGAACCACTAGGCTATTTATTTTATAAAGGAAGAAAATAACATTTGTCTGAAGCTCTCCAATCTCTTTGGTTTCCTCAACAGCGCATGTGTTTTTGCTAAGTTTACTGCACATTTCGAGTTTCTTGACAAGCAAAGCACTACACCCGAAGCTGGAGTTACCAGACCATTGTTCTGTTTCGAAGAGCGGACCCCTTTGTCTTCCACCGCCAAGGTAACAGTTGTTAACATTTTTCGCCCTACCTTCAAAGTATGCATGTTTTTATCATTAGGCTACAGTTTAAGGGGTTGCTTGCAGTCCCGACTCGTATTGAGAATTCATTGATTTTTTACGTGTATGCCTATGTTGTGAAACAACAAGGTTAAACTTTAGAAAGTGATGGTGAAACTCTTCCTACGAGTCACGACCTACCCCTCCTCGCGGCCGGGGAATGTCTATCGCAACATTGTATTCCCCTCGCGCTCACTGTTTCTCGGAATTGCTCACTGTTCTGACAATTTTCGCCCGGTTCAACAAATATTTATTTTTGACTAAAACATGACCCCCATGTGACCTCTCGTGGTTATAATGGCAATTTATCATAATTTTTTACCTGAACTTCTTGCGTTATTTGGCGCTTTCAAAACAACGGATAACTCGGAAAAACGAGGTCAACTCATGAACTTTGATCGTCAGAAAGTCGGTACTCTAGAAAGATGCCCGAGTTCCCGAGTTGGATGACGATTCAAAACGATTCTTCCCAGTCGAAGGTCGTTTTTTTTCGAGTTCCCAGTTGTCTTGAACGCTCGGAAGTCGGATATTTCCGCGTTCCCAGTTGTTTTGAACGCAGCATTAGAAGAATCTAATGGAAGCGTGACGTCACTTTCATGACGTTTGCCCATGATTTCATTTGGGTGGCTGTGAATGACTCGTTGAGTCGGAGCCGCATTTCGAAAGAGACAGATAGTAATTTGAGTAATGCATAGCCTATTACAGGCAACACTGCTCATCAGTCGAGACTCCATGGCATCATCCAAGCTCTTTTAGCCTATTATATGGCACTGTGAAATGGTGGATATGATTCACGTCTGCTAATGCAGTTCCCTTGTCACAGATTAATTGTATATTCAAGTTCCCCTTGTCACAGATACATTGTGTGTGTACTAAAAAGGGGATTTGCACACACCAAGTTCTTCTAGCTAGTTTTGTCACTATGCATTTGAAATGTTGTCTTTATGTAACATGCATTTTCAGTGTATTCAATCTGTGGTTTAGTCACATCCTAGCATATGTCAATGAAACCCACTAAAACAACTTATGTGACTTTCAGATGAGTGTGAACATCTCCTCTCCCGCCCCTGCACCTACTCGTCCCCTGCGGCTGAAGCGGCTGGAGCTGGACGACCCTCAGGATGACACAGAGGCCCTGAAATGCAAGCGTCACCGGCTGAGCCTTCCACCATCATCCCCTGGCCTGGCCCCCTGCCTGAGGCCCCTGAGCCACAGTCCGGGCTCCGACCAGCACTGTGTGTCCTGCATTGGTCCCTACGTCCTGCTAGAACCCACAGAGGGGACAGAGACCTACAGGGCCATCCACAGGGTTACGGAGCAGGAGTACACCTGCAAGGTATGTATTGTAGCTAGCCCCATCACAGTATAGAGTGCAGTGGTGTACCGCAGTTTCACGGGCCCCTGCAAGGTCTGAGCAAGGGCCCCCAACCCCCAATATACACTGAGTGTAAAAAACATTAGGAACTCTTTCCATGAAAAAAATAAAAAATGTATGCACTCACTAACTGTAAGTCGCTCTGGATAAGAGCGTCTGCTAAATGACTAAAATGTAAATGTAAATGACAGACTGACCAGGTAAAAGCTGTGATCCCTTACTGATGTTACCTGTTAAATCTACTTCAATCAGTGTAGATGAAGGGGAGGAGACAGGTTAAATAATGATTTTTAAGCCTTGAGACAATTGAGACATGGATTGTGTATGTGTGCCATTCAGAGGGTGCCTTTGAACGGGGTATGATAGTAGGTGCCAGGCGCACAGGTTTGAGTGTGTCAAGAACGACAATGCTGCTTGGTTTTTCACGCTCAACAGTTTCCCATGTGTATCAAGAATTGCCCACCACCTAAAGGACATCCAGCCAACTTGACACAACTGTGGGCCAGCATCCCTGTGGAACGCTTTCGACACCTTGTAGAGTCCATGCCCCGACGAATTGAGGCTGTTCTGAGGGCAAAAGGGGGTGCAACTCAATATTAGGAAGGTGTTCTTAATGTTTTGTGCACTCAGTGTGTGTGTATATATAACAAAAAAATAAATGCAACATGTAAAGTGTTTCATAAGCTGAAATAAAAGATCCCAGACATTTTCCATATGCACAAAAAGCTTATTTCTCAAATTTTGTGCACAAATTTGTTTACATCCCTGTTAGTGAACATTTCTCCTTTGCCAAGATAATCCATCCACCTGACAGGTGTGGCATATCAAGAAGCTGATTAAACAGCATGATCATTACAGGTTCACCTTGTACTGGGGACTATAAAAGTGTGCAGTTTTATCACACAACACAATGCCACAGATGTGTCATGTTTTGAGGGAGCGTGCAATTGGCATGCTGACTGCAGGAATGCTGTTGGCAGAGAATTGAATGTTAATTTCTCTATCATAAGCCGCTTCCCACGTCGTTTTAGAGAATTTGGCAGTACGTCCAACCGGCCTCACAACCGCAGACCACGTGTAACCACGCCAGCCCAGGACCTCCATATCCGGCTTCTTCACCTGCAGGATCGTCTGAGACCAGCCACCCGGACAGCTGATGAAACCGAGGAGTATTTCTGTCTGTAAGAAAGCCCTTTTGTGGCGAAAAGCTCATTCTGATTGGCTGGGCCTGGCTCTCAAGTGGGTTGGCCTATGCCCTCCCAGGCCCACCCATGGTTGCGCCACTGCCCAGTCATGTGAAATCCATAGATTAGGGCCTAATTCATTTATTTAAATTGATTTATTTCCTTATATGAACTGTAACTCAGTAAAGTCGTTGAAATTGTTGCATGTTGCGTTTTATATTTTTGTTCAGTATATACACTACATGGCCAAAAGTATGTGGACACGCCTTCAAATTAAAGGATTCGGCTATTTCAGCCACACCCGTTGCTGACAGGTGTATAAAATCGAGCACACAGCCTTGCAATCTCCATAGTCAAACATTGACAGTAGAATGGCCCCTACTGAAGAGCTCAGTGACTTTCAACATGGCACCGTCATAGAATGCCACCTTTCCAACAAGTCAGTTCGGCAAATTTCTGCCCTGCTAGAGCTGCCCCTGTCAACTGTAAGTGTTGTTACCGTGAAGTGGACATGTCTAGGAGCAACAGTGGCTCAGCCGTGAAGTGGTAGACCACACAAGCTCACAGAACGGGAGTGTTGAAGCACGTAGCTTGTAAAAATTGTCTGTCCTCGGTTGTAACACTCACTACCGAATATTATACATTTTTTATTTTTTTGTGTCTTAAAAAAAAAACTGCCTCTGGATTTAACGTCAGCACAATAACTGTTAGTCGGGAGCCGAGCAGCTGCACACAAGCCTAAGATCACCATGCGCAATGCCAAGCGCCGGCTGGAGTGGTGGAAAGGTCACCGCTATTGGACTCTGGAGCAGTGGAAATGCGTTCTCTGGAGTGATGAGTCACGCTTCACCATCTGGCAGTCCGACGGACAAATCTTGGTTTGGCGGATGCCAGGAGAACGCTACCTGCCCGAATGCATAGTGCCAACTGTAAAGTCTGGAGGAGGAATAATGGTCTGAGGCTGTTTTTCATGGTTCGGCCTCTTAGTTCCAATTAAGGGAAATCTTAACTGTACAGCATACAATTACCTTCTAAACGATTCTGTGCTTCCAACTTTGTGCCAACAGTTTGGGGAAGGCACTTTCCTGTTTCAGCATGACAAAGTGAGGTCCATACAGAAATGGTTTGTGAAAGAACTTGACCAGCCTGCACAGAGCGCTGACCTCAACCCTATTGAACACCTTTGGGATGAATTGGAACTAATCACCCAGCATCAGTGCCCAACCTCACTAATGCTCTTGTGGCTGAATGGAAGCAAGTCCCTGCAGCAATGTTCCAACATCTAGTGGAAAGCCTTCCCAGAAGACTGGAGGCTGTTATAGCAGCAAAGGGGGGACCAACTCCATATTAATGCCCATGATTTTGGAATGAGAGATTGGAGAACCTTCCAGAAGGACAACCATCTCTGCAGCAATCCACCAATCAGGCCTTTATGGTAGAGTGGCCAGACGGAAGCCACTCCTCAGTAAAAGGCACGACAGCCCGCTTGGAGTTTGCCAAAAGGCACCTAAAGGACTCTCAGGCTATGATAAACAAGATCCTCTGGTCTGATGAAACCAAGATTGAACTCTTTGGCCTGAATGCCAAGCATCACGTCTGGAGGAAACCTGGCACCATCCCTACGGTGAAGCATGATGGTGGCAGCATCATGCTGTGGGGATGTTTTTTAGCGGCAGGGACTGGGAGACTAGTCAGGATTGAGGGAAAGATGAACAGAGCAAAGTACAGAGAGATCCTTGATGAAAACCTGCTCCGTAGCTCTCAGGACCTCAGACTGGGGTGAAGGTTCACCTTCCAACAGGACAATGACCGTAAGCACACAGTCAAGACAACGCAGGAGTGGCTTTGGGACAAGTCTCTGAATGTCCTTGAGTGGCCCAGCCAGAGCCTGGACTTGAACCCGATCGAACATCTCTGGAGAGACCTGAAAATAGCTGTGCAGCAACGCTCCCTATCCAACCTGACAGAGCTTGAGGCGATCTGCATAGAAGAATGGGAGAAACTCCCCAAATACAGGTGTGCCAAGCTTGAGGCTGCCAAAGGCGCTTCAACAAAGTACTGAGTAAAGGGTCTGAATACTTATGTAAATGTAATATTTCCGTTTTTTATTTTTAATACATTTGCTAAAATGCGGTGTGCGCAATGAGCATGCTGTGTTGGCTTAGTCAAGTCATTTAATTGTCACTACTGGCTTACAAGCAGGGTTTCCCAAACTCAGTCCTGGGGTCCCCCTGGGTGCACATTTGGGCTTTTGCCCTAGCACTACACAGCTGATTCAAATATTCAAAGCTTGATGATGAGTTGGTTATTTTACTCTGCTGTGTAGTGCTAAGGCAAAAACCAAAACATGCACCCAGGGGGGGCACAAGGACCGAGTTTGGGAAACCATGGCTTACGGTGAAGTTGACCTATGCACACATCCTTTTGGTGTGACATTATTTGACAATGAGTTCACTCAAGTGGGTACATTACCCTCAGTGGATACATTACCCTCAGGAGAAGACATTCATATAGTCTGTAGTTTGTAATTTGACCATGACCTTATGAACTATGACCTCTAACCTAACTCTACCAGGTGTTCTCTATGAGGCGGTACCAGGAGTTCATCGCCCCCTACATTCGCCTGCTGCCCCACGACAACATCTGCCGCATCGCTGAGGTGGTGACGGGCGAGCACAGCGTCTTCGTCTTCTTTCAGCGCAACTACGGCGACATGCACTCATACGTGCGCACGTGCAAGCGGCTCCAGGAGGAGGAGGCGGTGCATCTCTTCAGCCAAATGGCGGTGGCGGTGGCACACTGTCACAAGCATGGCGTGGTCCTGCGCGACCTCAAGCTGCGCAAGTTTGTCTTCGTGGACCAGCAGAGGTTAGTAGTTTATGCTCTTCTTAAAGTGGCATTCAGCAGTTGAAACAATAACAAAGCGCTCTACCCACCCCTGTTTCGGTAAAAAGCTAAGGGATGGATAAACGTAACGACTGACCATCTACTGTATAAAAATTCTAGTTTTAACCATAGTTTGAGGCTATATAGTGTTTGTTTAAATTGACTTTGTTTAATAACATTGGAGTAAAATGGGCTATTATTTTGGGTTCTAATGGGATAAGTTATATTCTTCAAGAATCAATGGGTAGATATAATTCATTTTAAGTCAAGAAATGGATGTAGTAACTGCTGATTGCCCCTTTTAACTTATTTAACTTAACCTAATTTTAGCTGAGGAACATGGTCATTGGATTTTCTGTTTGCAGGTTGGATTGACTTACAGTAGTGACTGAGACATGTGGCCCAAATTCATCATCTGAATGTTTACTTGAGACAAGACAGCCAGGCATATGTGGACTAAGTTCAGTTGCATTATGTCACTGCTAAAGAAGGCCCTTTAGTTAAGCAACTGTCAAAATGGCACTAAAGCTCCTCATGATGCCTTCATCATAACAGCTATGTCATGTGATTAGGGCTATATTTCTCCCACCCTGTAAACACAGGTGTCATTCCAGACAGAGTTATGTAAGCTACTGTATTATGCATATGACCCAGTGAATCACACAAAGCAGAAAACGACATGTCGTCGCACCATGTGGGGGTATGATGATGATGACTCAACATCTCTCTCTGGTTCTCCTTCCTTTCAGGACCAAGCTTGTTCTTCATAACCTGGAAGACTCCTGTCTGCTCCACGGGGACGACGACTCTCTTACGGACAAGCACGGCTGCCCGGCCTATGTGGGCCCCGAGATCCTCAACTCGCACCACTCGTACTCAGGGAAGGCTGCTGATGTCTGGAGCCTGGGCGTGGTGCTGTACACCATGCTGGTGGGTCGATACCCGTTCCAGGATGTGGAACCCGCCGCCCTCTTTAGTAAGATACGCCGGGGGACGTTCACAGTGCCAGAGTCGCTCTCGGTGCGGGCCAAGTCGCTGGTGTGCTGCATGCTGCGTAAAGCACCCTCTGAGAGACTGGAGGCCTCGGAACTGCTGCTCCACCCATGGCTGAACTGTTCCAACAACACAACACCTCCCAACACGCACCTCAACGCCAGGAACTGCACTGACCAAGTGGTCCCCAGCTACACAGAAGCGACTGAGGACACGGGCTGTTTCTAGAATAAAAAGAAAAATGTCCTCTGTCCTTTGTCGCAGTGATGCAAGTACAGCAGTATAATCTCCGTAGAGGGAATACTGGTAATGCAGGGGTTTTTCCTACCTACCTTACATGTTTGGTGACACTTAAGAAACATAACATAGTCAAATGGCATTACAAATTGCTAATGTCTAACTGCAGTTTGGTATCAATGTTGTCAAAGCTTTGTTAATCTGTTGTTAGACATTAGCATGTATAGATGTTGAAGTTGTGCTTTTGAAGAAGTTGTGAACGTGTTCTGCAGGGCCCTTAATCGAAATTGATACCAAATGTATTATATAGTTCTGTGTCATGAAGCATGTGTTTGTTTAGGTAGTGACATTGCTGTTCCGCAAAGCAGTAACTACTAACTACTGGATCTCCTGGCCACATGTGTAACAGACGCCTCCTTCCAGTTAGATGTACATCTGCTTGTCTAGGGTCCAATGCAGTTATTTCCACACTGCAGTGTAACATCAAGAAAAGCGCTTTTCAAAAGCTACCCAACTATTGTGCTTTAACCAATGGAAATTGTTTTGTTGACTCAATGGGAATCACAGGTGAAAACAGTCCTCCAGATACCTTGCCCCATATAGAAGGAGTCTGTCTAGCAGTATTCCCCTTTCGCAGAAAGCAGTAATTTCACCAATTTTTGATCGTGAGCAACTCAGTTGGGAACACTAAATTGAAGATGTATACTGAACAAAAATGGAAACGCAACAATTTCAAAGATTTTACTGAGTAACAGTTCATAGAAGGAAATCCGTCAATTGAAATAAATTCATTAGGCCCTAATCTATGGACTTCACATGATTGGGCAGGGGCGCAGGAGGAGCCCACTGCGGAGCCAGGCCCAGCCAATCAGAATGTGTTTTTCCCCACAAAAGGGCTTTATTACAGACAGAAATACTCCTCAGCTTATGGCGGCTTATGGTAGAGAAATGAACATTCAATCTCTGGCAACAGCTCTGTTGGACATTCCTGCAGTCAGCATGCCAAATGTACGCTCCCTCAATTTGAGACATCTGTAGCGTTGTGTGACAAGACTGCACATTTTAGTGGCCTTTTATTGTCCTCAGCACAAGGTGCCCTTGTGTAATGATCATGCTGTTTAATCAGCTTCTTGATATGGCACACCTGTCAGGTGGATGGATTATCTTGGCAAAGGAGAAATGTTCACTAACAGGGATGTAAACAAATTTGTGCACAAGATTTGAGAAAAGCTTTTTGTGCTTATGGAAAATGTCTGGGATCTTTTATTTCAGCTCATGAAACGTGACCAACTTTACATGTTGCGTTTATTTTTGTTCAGTATATATCTGACAGGACTGATACCTGATGCCTCTGAACTTGATGAAATCCTGGAATACTTGAAGCACGTTTTGTGCCTTTGTTTGTGTGTACTGTTTACATATTTTAGTGACATCTGGATCCTACCAACCATTAAAGTGCCTTGTTTTCATAACCACAGTTTGTTGTAGTCCCCCTCCCCTATCTTATATCCCTATCAGAACTTCACCAAGCTTTTCTTTACCAAAGACTTAAGCTACCCTCAGTCATTACTTATGGTGTGCCGATCCAGGTTTAGTGAGCTGTGATTCAGTGATAGTTCAGCATGGTGTCCTAGATCCGTAGACAAGTGTAGTCGTCATTACCTCAAGCGTGAGTTAAATGTCTGTAGTATATAGTGCTGTAGTGTACTTTAAACACCCATATAATGGTGAAACTGTGTTAGTATCTGTTGACCTGAACAAAGGCATCACATACATTACACCGTAATGTGTGGTGTTAGTCGTGATGATGCCTGCATGCAGTTCGCTGACCCTAAATAGATCTCAGATCCTACTTGTTCTTTACTATGCCATAGCTCTTATTGTGACTTTTTATATAGGATGCAAAGGAAAGTACACTACATTTGGTTTTCTTAGGTTGGAGGGTTGGTGGATGTACTTTTTTGTCGTTTCCAGTAAAAATAAATCCTTCAACAAACGAACTGTTTGCCAATCCCGCTTTTTTCGATAAGACCACACATTGTCGTTGGAGATGGTTGTAACACACTTGTTCATTACCCAATCTCTATTTTTGTGTTCAGGGTCAGATAAATAATTCCAGGAATCAAGAAATTATTTAAAACTACAAACCCACAGAGCTTGATTCAGCTTTGATTAATACTAGGATGTACAGTGGAACTGACTATTATCTAGAGAAGCGCAAAACCGTGCAAGGACAGGGGTTATGACCAATTCATAGTAAAGATATCTGAATGATTTCTGCTATACATGTCAGCTACTACAGCGACTGAAATGACTGCAACACAACACTTACAGTGAGGGAAAAAAGTATTTGATCCCCTGCTGATTTCGTACATTTGCCCACTGACAAAGAAATGATCAGTCTATCATTTTAATGGTAGGTTTATTTGAACAGTGAGAGACACAATAACAACAACAAAATTCAGAAAAACGCATGTCAAAAATGTTATGAATTGATTTGCATTTTAATGAGGGAAATAAGTATTTGACCCCCTCTCAATCAGAAAGATTTCTGGCTCCCAGGTGTCTATTATACAGGTAACAAGCTGAGATTAGGAGCACACTCTTAAAGGGAGTGCTCCTAATCTCAGTTTGTTACCTGTATAAAAGACACCTGTCCACAGAAGCAATCAATCAATCAGATTTCAAACTCTCCACCATGGTCAAGACCAAAGAGCTCTCCAAGGTTGTCAGGGACAAGATTGTAGACCTACACAAGGCTGGAATGGGCTACAAGACCATCGCCAAGCAGCTTGGTGAGAAGGTGACAACAGTTGGTGCGATTATTCGCAAATGGAAGAAACACAAAATAACTGTCAATCTCCCTCGGCCTGGGGCTCCATGCAAGATCTCACCTTGTGGAGTTGCAATGATCATGAGAACGGTGAGGAATCAGCCCAGAACTACATGGGAGGATCTTGTCAATGATCTCAAGGCAGCTGGGACCATAGTCACAAAGAAAACAATTGGTAACACACTACGCTGTGAAGGACTGAAATCCTGCAACGCCCGCAAGGTCCCCCTGCTCAAGAAAGCACATATACAGGCCCGTTTGAAGTTTGCCAATGAACATCTGAATGATTCAGAGGAGAACTGGGTGAAAGTGTTGTGGTCAGATGAGACCAAAATCTAGCTCTATGGCATCCACTCAACTCGCCGTGTTTGGAGGAGGAGGAATGCTGCCAATGACCCCAAGAACACCATCCCCACCGTCAAACATGGAGGTGGAAACATTATGCTTTGGGGGTGTTTTTCTGCTAAGGGGACAGGACAACTTCACCGCATTAAAGGGACGATGGACGGGGCCATGTACCGTCAAATCTTGGGTGAGAACCTCCTTCCCTCAGCCAGGGCATTGAAAATGGGTCGTGGATGGGTATTCCAGCATGACAATGACCCAAAACACACGGCCAAGGCAACAAAGGAGTGGCTCAAGAAGAAGCACATTAAGGTCCTGGAGTGGCCTAGCCAGTCTCCAGACCTTAATCCCATAGAAAATCTGTGGAGGGAGCTGAAGGTTTGAGTTTCCAAAGTGGAACAAAATCCCTCCTAGATGTGTGCAAACCTGGTGGCCAACTACAAAAACGTCTGACCTCTGTGATTGCCAAGGGTTTTGCCACCAAGTACTAAGTCATGTTTTGCAGAGGGGTCAAATACTTATTTCCCTCATTAAAATGCAAATCAATTTATAACATTTTTGACATGCGTTTTTTCAGGATTTATTTGTTGTTATTCTGTCTCTCACTGTTCAAATAAACCTACCATTAAAATTATAGACTGATCATTTCTTTGTCAGTGGGCAAACGTACAAAATCAGCAGGGGATCAAAACCTTTTTTCCCTCACTGTAACAAAGAGCTGCAGTTAGTTTCAGAGTGGGTGGCATGGAATAAGTAAGTCCTAAATATTTCTAAAACTAAAAGCATTGTATTTGGGACAAATCATTCACTAAACCTTAACTAAATCTTGTAATAAATAATGTGGAAATGGAGCAAGTTGAGGTGACTAAACTGCTTGGAGTAACCCTGGATTGTAAACTGTCATGGTAAAAACATATTGATACAACAGTAGCTAAGATGGGGAGAAGTCTGTCCATAATAAAGCGCAGCTCTACCTTCTTAACAACACTATCAACAAAGCAGGTCCTACAGGCCCTAGTTTTGTCGCACCTGGTCTACTGTTCAGTCGTGTGGTCAGGTGCCACAAAAAGGGACTTAGGAAAATTGCAATTGGCTCAGAACAGGGCAGCACGGTTGGCCCTTGGATGTACACAGAGAGCTAATATTAATATGCATGTCAATCTCTCCTGGCTCAAAGTGGAGGAGAGATTGACTTCATCACTACTTGTATTTATGAGAGGTATTGACATGTAGAATGCACCGAGCTGTCTGTTTGAACTACTGGCACACAGCTCGGACACCCCACAACACATGCCACAAGTCCCCAAGTCCAGAACAGACTATGGGAGGTGCACAGTACTACATAGAGCCACGACTACAACTCTATTCCACATCAAGTAACTGAAGCAAGCAGTAAAATGAGATTTAAAACACAGATAAAAATACACCTTATGGAACAGCGGGGACTGTGAAGCAACACAAACATAGGCACAGAGGCATGCATGCACACACACGATAACATACGCACTATACACACACGTACACATGGATTTTGTACTGTAGATATGTGGTGGTGGTGGTGTAATAAATACAAATGCTACTACTGATTATTTATAGTACTGATCTACTAGCTAGTCCCAAGCCTTGTACTGATTGGATAACACCAATTGTGAATGGAAAACAATCTCACCCAAGTTTGTCTAAAGAATTACACATATTATTTAAATCAGTGTTATAAAAACTGGGCAGTGAGGCAGTTTTAGTCAAGACCTTTATTGTACATGGTGAGTTGGTGACAAATCAAATGGATACAAGTTTTGTGAAATAAAACCACAATTATGAGGTCTTGTAAGCTGCCAGAAAGACAAAATGAAACTATTCTGCGATGTATACAATTAATAGGTCAACCTTGCGATTGGGAAATTAAAACTGTTTCACAGATAATATATCCTAGTCATTAACACGAGACTAAAATAAATGTGGTTCTGATGCAAGAGTTAGCCTACTTCCGCAACAATATTACCTTGCTTCTTAGTATTTAATTGGACCATATTGTCAGGAAGTCTGAGATAATAAGCCTGCATGTCCTTGCCATGACAACCACCTTGTTTTCACACATGGGCCACATTGAACACAACAAATCAACAGTGTTGTCTAAAACAGTTGTTCAGTAGACAAAGATAATCAACAAGGAAATTTGTACTGTAGCCATGTCTACCTGCGCAAAGTATGTTTGTCAAAAGTCAATATGCTGATCACTTTGGACGTTGACATTTGAAATCAAATTCAGGAAGTCAAAATTGGTTTGTGATTTCAACATCTCTAGAGAGCATGTTCTACACTAGAAGCAGATAGATATACATGCAACTTTACAATACCCACTGTATCTTTCTACCATGTTGTACTTAATGTCCAAAGGATGAGTCTATTTCACATTTTACTTACACAAAACGGGCAAGAGCAAGACGTATGCAGTAACACTGTCCAGCTGGTAGTCAATAGGACAACCAAAATACTGATACAGGAAATGTGACCGTTGAAATACGGCTAACCAATCACTCACTACTGGGCCTAAATAGGTAGCTTTGCCCTTCAGTCCACCCATTAGTCACAAATGCATTATTGTATATTCAGTACATTTCCATCATGCTTAATTTGATAAGGAAAGTTGGACCATAGGCATCACTGATCTCTACAGGGAGTTTTTGCAGTGGAAATTATCACTCTAGATTTGTCTTGACACTATAAGTCTAAAATGACATTTCAAAATGCCACACACGGGGGAGCGCAACAGTCAGACTAAAGGGAAACTGCTCTGTAACTAGACTTGTGTTTTCATAAAACTCTTCAGATAATCACACTAAAAACTGCTTCAACTAAAGCAATACCTAAAAACAGCTTTTTAAGTTATATTAAAATACAAGATATGTAAATTCAAACAGTATACTCTACAAGCAGAGTTTGTATAATATGTGAGAATTCACGTGTCACACAAGTCCTTAAAACACATTATGGAATTGAGAATCAAGATTAGATTCTGGAGTGCTTTTGGAACAGAGATGCAGCAGAATAGTATTTGCTGGCTTGACCCATAAAACTATAGACTGCACTTGTCGCTAAATAAAAATAAATAAACAATTGTAGGTTTGAGTAGCATTGGTATGGAAGGCAGAACATCCCCAAGAGGCAGACTGATTCAAGCTGGTATGTGACTTTTCCATCAGCTGAGATTGAAGTGACAGTATTGGTTTGGCCATCAGCAAACAGCAGTTTTATGGATGTAGCTACAGTGGAGGACAGCTAAATTGAGGCTGCCCCCTGGTGTTCAAAGTTCAAACATGCCCTCAAGTATGTAGTCTGAGAATGGTCCTATACCTAAACATTGAGAACCCATTTGGTATGAGAACAGCTCACACTTTGGAATGGTAAAGCTTGAACAACAAAACATGATAATAAAAATCTAAAACTTTTGCTTAATTAATGCATTAGCAAAACCAGCATAGAGAATGTGAAATATGTTGCAAATTAATGAGTGCCAGAACATGCTCCAATACCAGGTCAAACACGCCAAACAAAGCTTTTGCTTCTGATAAACAAGGTAAGGAGAATGTAGCGATGGAAAATTAAAATGATACACAAATAAATGGGAATAATCCACATCTGATCATGAGTAACAGATCTCCAAGCTCACAGTCTGACTTCTGCAGTAAAATACAGTGAGGTTCACCACACAAAGTACAAGAAAAAACTGAAGCAAATTCTCAACACGAAAAATTATGAGTTTAAGATGAGTTGTAAAATAAATGGTGGTGATGTGGGTACAGACAGACATCCCAGTATACTGTTTGGTCCTGTATGAGACTGGGACTGGCGCTTCACTGGGCACACAGGGCACCATACCGGCTGAGAGAAGAAATACATGGTTTAGATTAAAAGATTAGACAGACCCAAATGATGTATCCATGAACAGTACTAATTCAACATACAAAATAACTTTGACACTTAAAAGAAAGTAAAACAGTTTCATGCTCTATGTTTTTAATACCAAATCATATTTTAGGTTTTCTATGGAGAATGCAGGCTGTGTGCCCTCCTTACCCATCTTCATCCATGTTCTCATAACAATCTTCATCCAGCTCCAGATCTAGTTCGTTGCCAATGCCAGAGTCCCGTGGGGCCATGAATAAACTAACACACAGGGACAAAAGCAAATGTTGCTCACCACAGACCACTTCAATGTATAAGCAATTCTTTCAGGGATGGAATATAAGTATTTTGGACATTGGCCAGTAAACTGTGATTTCAACTGACCCGGGTAACAGACGGATCCAAAATCTGTGTCATGCGATGTTTGAAAAGACAAAATGTCACTGGCCTGGCGGGTTAGTCTGGCACAGACTGAAAAGTAATAGCCTTGGGCTAGTGGGCTAGCTTAATTTCTATCGCTTCCCTGGTTCTTTGGCTATGTTGAATGACTGCCTAGGACACTTATCCATGTATCCATTTAGCTTTGAGCAAAATATAAGTATTTATTGTCAGTATGCAGTTATATTGTCTATGACCAACCATGTACAGATTGTAAACAGATGATTTCCACTCAGATAAAATAATACCATACCCAGACAACTGACACGTCAAATGGACATTAGAAGTTAAAAAGGTATAGTTCACCCAAAAACATAATTTTGTATTTTGTTCATTAGTCGACTGTTAATACAATCCCAAAGAATTCTGTAGTCAGCAGTCAACTTTTCAAGAAAAGGAAAAAACTGTGGCGATGATGGGTTTTGCAGTCTTTAGTCTAACCTGACCGAGCGGCATGTGAAGAAGACTATCCTCTTCAGCCTTGTGTTGTAGAAGAAGTAGTTGAAGGACCACATGTTGCCCTCCTCTCCGTACGGGTCAGAGTCCAGGTCTGGGTTGTAGCTGCAACGTTCAAAACAATATGGCCCTTAAATTCTGGTTTACAAACAGCATGTATGCCTCCCCTCAAGGGAAAACAAAATAACACATAAAATGGATTATTGCTCTATGAAAACAGTACCACTTGCCCAAGACACTTGTCATATATCTGAAAGGATTGGATGGGTGTAAGCAACATGGTAGTGGCTCCACCTAGCACTCTGATGCTCGTGCCGGAGTTTCTAGTGATATTGCTGCCAACTACGGACCACACATACCCTCTCTACCTTTAAGAAAACGTGACGTTACTCACCTGTAGATGTCACACTCTGACAGGCAGATCTCAGCGTCAATGGCCTCCCACAGCTGGGGCTGAAGCAGACTATACTCCTCCCGGGCCGCCGCCGACAGACTACTGTTCACCGCGTTGAACACCTGAGGTCACACACTATGTTAATAATGGCATACAAACGCATAACTTACATTTACATTTAAGTCATTTAGCAGACGCTCTTATCCCGTGTATATCCAGCCAGGTAAGAATTCAGCTAAGACTGTCCATGACTAGACATCTAGTTTCAAGCACTGTGTGCTATACTTTTAATTTTCGAGTTGATCTGTTAGTCTCTTTCCGTAGCCTTTTGTCCTCCAGGTAATGGTCTCATACCACATAAGACCTGACAGGCTTTGGGTTGTGTACAAGCTGCCTCGGCACATCAAGCCCAATCAAATCATGCTGCTGTGTAGTGAAAGCCACGATGCAAAACCAGCAGAATATGCTGGTTCCGGTGTAAGCAATTCATAACAGCAACACGAGGCAGGTACAGGTACAGGCACTGTTGAGTAGGTAGGAGATGTTAAATAGATCCTCACCCAGTTAACGCTGGGCTCTCTGCTAAAGTCGTGGCTCTTGGTGCGGCTGAAGTCATAGTCGGGGCGGAAGGATTCGTTGAGGGTGGCGATCAGGTAAAAGAGGGTCTTCCTGCTGCACTTGTCAGAGAGAGGCCCTTCCCCCTCGTCTCCACTCTGACTCTGGCTCAACCTGCAACAACAGCACAAAACCACAGACACACACTTATTAGTGTTATGAACATGTTCAGTCCACACTTGTTCATACTTGTAGTGCATTCTTGTCATTTGAACTGTCTGCTTGACGTGAACTACAGGATTCGTCTAGGTCTTCATGTGACCAGGCCATGGGCATTACAGAATACTGATAGAAGTGTAATGACTACAACAGATTCAACTCACTATCACTATGTTATACATCTACTTTAGTGTGTGTGTTCTACATGCATTAGCTACATTTATCTGCAAAACACTGACCATTTCTCCCCAGTACTGAATAGACCTCTGAGTTCCTATGGTGATGGTGTAGTGTGGACTGAAGTCTTACTTGTTGGGGCTTATTCCTGAGGACTGTGGAGGGGACAGGGCTTCCAGGACATGAGGCAGTCCCTCCTGACAGAACTGCTTGAACATCTGCTTGTCCTCGCCTGCCATCTTGCAAGAGTAGCTCTCGATCCTGAGAAAATACAGAATGGTTCATCACATCATGCATACACTTCAACAAATGTGGTTGCTGAAAATCTACTTCCTGTGTAACACAGTTCAGTTATGTTAGGTCTTCATAGCAAGGCATTGAAGTGTTGTCAAATTATGTGCAAATTTTGTCCATTTGTAGGTCTACATAGCAAATGGGCTAGTGGCACTATCGACATGTTGATAACTTACCTTCCTATTATCTGACAGTCCCCCGTTTCAATGGTGAGTCTGGTGTTTATGGCTTCAAAACTTGAATTTTCCAGGAGTTTCATCTTGACAGTTAATATTTTGCATGTAAAAAAATGAAGTGTTTAAAGTGCATAAACTCATCCCCTATTTAGCCCCTAGGCTTAAAGACTACCGTAAAAGTCTACAATCTGTCACCACCAGGTCAGGTCGCCAATTATAATAAACAAAATTACACTTGTCTTCTTCGCAATCCTCTGTCTTGCTTTGTACACATTCGTTAGATATTCAACAATGGTCGTACGAATTTAACTAACCTAACAATTAACTATGCACTGGCCCACATCAAATAAACTCGGTCAAATGTGTCGTTCAAAAAACAGCGAACGCACAAACTTTTCAGGCCTACTGTACCCAGCTGGAAACCTTTCGTGCAATAACAATGCTTGCCTTGAATTGAAAATACCTCCGACCACAAAGATAACTGGCCGTGGAGATCCTCAGCTCGCACGCGTAAAAACAGTTTGTTGTATCTAGCGCTCCCTCAATTCAATACCAAAGTAACCAATTTCAATCACAAACTTTAAATTCAATATTGCACAATTAACTTAATAATGATGTAAAGATCTTTGTCGAGGGCTTATGGCACTTATATGTCTGATAGAAATGTCTTCCTTTTTACTGTGAAATTTCCAATACCTGCCATTAAATAAACTGAAACTGGATAGACAATTCTTCATCCCAGCTTTTGTATCAGAACTTCAAGAGAAATCCCAGGCTTCTCGAAGCCTTTCGCCTTCGCTATGCACCTGAATTCGTCTAAAAACAGCAACCCACTTTCGTTGTTTTGATCCTTCCTCAGTGTAACTGCACTTCCTTCTTCTCTACAAGCCCAGTTCCTCTTTTACCGGATTTTTCCTCAAGAGGGCGCCATGGGGGCCAGATAAACATGCCATGATGTAGCTAGTTATGATAACACCCCCTTGCTCTTCGTCCAGTTACAGTAGACTTTCACTTGCATGAGTTAGTTAGTTAGTTAGTTAGTTAGTTAGTTAGTTAGTTAAAAAACACACACACAATTTTATTTATTTATTAAAATACGTATTGGTCTATCTGGATATTATTAAACGGCAGTCTGTCATCACTGTCTATGTACAGTACTGATATGTAATAAATTGGAATGTGCAAATGGCTCCTTTTCTTGAATATAGTTTCGTTTCGCTTTTCATTTAGACTTCTGATCAGTGGCGTGTATTCATGGATGCCAAGGGAAGCCAGACATCCCAAAAAATTGACTAATAAAAAATACAAAAAATAAAAATGTAGTCTGTGTTTCTTAATTTTCCTTCAATTCGCAAGAGGCTGAATGTATCTCACAGGAGAAAGCAACCGAGCGAGCGAAACAGCGCCCCTCTGTCTCTACGTGTAGGCCATCTATCTGATGCTGTCTGGTCCGAACGAGTGTGACATTGTTGCCGCCTGTAGCGTTGAAGGCAAGGCAAGCTTGCGAGCATCTGGCCTCCCTTGACAAAAAAAAGTATAACAAATGTGCCAATCAGCGTTGAGCTGTGAATGGTCCTGGCACCCAAAAAAATGTGTAAAGGGAAGCCAGCTTGGATTTGGCATCACTCCTTTCAAATCCCATTGAGAGCATACATCATTGATTGAAAAACTTGAATTGTTGCATCTCGTTGTGTTGTTGTCTTCCAGTGGCTGGCTAGCCAGCTAGCTAAAATTGGCCCTTTCCTAAATTAGCCATGGGGATGGAGATAGGGATTTGGACTTGTGGTTTTACGTAATTCCCTGTACTGGCCAATGATTCTGATCCAACCATTCATTAATACATTGTTGTGCCCCTGGCCTAAGAGGATGGAAGTTCAATATGTAGCTAGATGTAGAAGGCTAATGTTAACTAGCTAAAGTTGCCCATGAATGGAAGTTAGGCTAGCGAGCAAGCATTTCAGCCAGGTAGCCTAGGACAACAAAAACTAAAAGCGTGTACTGTATGACAGAGTGATATACCGTTTCGTCAACATGAAAGAGAGGAGGATGGCATTGGCGTTTCTCTAAAAGTAGAGTGAGTCAACAAGTTTGTCTACTTGCAAGAACGCGCACATGCACACAGAAATCAGAATCATGGACAGCCACATTATATTATATTTAGCTTACGTTGATTAGACAAAATTGTTTATGGTATCTTTTAGTTGTCACTGTATTAGACTCAGCAGAGGTGATTTGATGATGTTGAAATGTTGAAGTTGAAATGGTGCTGGAATAGTGGAGGCAGCTCCTGTTTTCTTTGCGACTTGCGGTAACTCTCCGTGGTTCTAAATCAATAGTTGTTCAGTGGTCCGAAAATGTCGGTAACATTAACTTGCTTGACCATGATGTAGGTCATGTAACTGTCTGTTACTGTACATGCAATATGCTTTGTGGACTTCACTGGACAGAGGTTGCTATCCGATTTTGTGATAAAACAAATGTGTGGTTAAATGTATTCTGCCATTGTTTTCTTGCCACTGTCTTGGCCTTTAGGCCTATATATCGTGGTCACAAGGCATATGAATTAACAGGTTATAGAGCAAACAACACATTTATCACAACACATTGGTTGTAATATGGCTCTTCCCCAGTGGCTAAAGTATACTTATGGCTAAAATATCACATGTTATTTAGTTTACAATACAATATTAAATATTGTCCTTAGTAGGCTGTCAAAGTGAAAGGGTACTGTCAAAGTGAAAGGATGCTGTCAAAGTGAAAGGGTGCTTTCAAAGTGAAAGAGTGCTGTCAAAGTGAACGTTTCCATTTTGCATGATGTTGTTTTTCACTTTGTGTTATCCTTCTGTATCATGACTTTCTTTTGCTTGTCATTTCATAAAATAGGTCAAACTATGACTTCTCATGAGGTGACCTTCACAAGCAATTTAAAATCAAAAGAGGGTAAGAATAAAGGTTATTCATAATAAAGTTAGGCATGCATAGCCTATGTCTGTGTGGTTCTCATTTCTGATTTCCTGATAATGTTTAAATAGGCAGGTCAATAATGGGCCAAAGAGCAATGATAGTGACGCATTATATTTACATGTACATTTTAGTCATTTAGCAGACGCTATTATCCAGAGCGACTTACAGGAGCAATTAGGGTGAAGACAGAGAACTAGAATTATTGTTTACAGATTCTTTCTCAAATACTCTGACAGAAAGCCTCCACCTCTTCTGTTGGCCAACCAGAGCAAAGGACTGAGTGTGGTCCAGACTCCATTCAGCCAATCCGTAGGCGCAGGGGTTGGTCCCAACTCCTCGGCACTCCATTTGTTGCCAGGCATAAGTTGCTATGATAATAACCTGCGGAGTCAGCACCCAAAAGACACCATTCCACTGTACTCCATGTTCAAGGACAGTTTCACAGACTACAAAGAGAGAGTGTTCGTATCTGTAAGAAATACAAGTCTTATCTGTCCTACCCCTAACGTTCCTTACATGAATAACAGCCTGTTATGTGAAACAATCCATATCAGTACAGTGCTCCTCATTAATGCATTCCTTCCAAGCTATTCATCACATACAGATCCAATTATGAGAAAAATAAAACCCAACAATTCCCCCTTTTGACACCCTCTAGGGTGTCACTCATTAAAATACAATACAAACAAAAATAAACACTTTTATTAATAGACAATTTGATAATAAAAGTCCTTCAGTCCTTCCATCTACACCCAACTTGCAAACGGTTGGCTACAAGTCACCCAGGCACTTCAAACCTTCACATAAGGAAAGACAAACATTCTCAATGGTTAACTTGATTAATAAAGCATAAAACACAGGATTAATAGAACACAAAACATAAGATTATTAAAACATAAAACACCAACAGGGAAGTACATTTTGGCCCCCTTTAGACACCCTCTAGAGTGTCACTCCACCAAGCCTGGTAGGTCATATCCTTCATTCCTTAGGTCGGAGTCCGGGATTGGGCCGTATCTCACCATCTGTTTGGAAACCACCTTCTCCATCTCCTTTTCTCACCAACCCTCAGACACAGGAAATAAGACAACATCCACAAAGAACAAGTATACCCATAGAAGCTATAACTTCACCCAGAATAGTTACAACAATAGTTTTCCATTTACCAAATATGTTATCAAACCAACCGTTTATGGAGCTATCAATACCAGAGTTCTCAGCCAGTTCGTTCGCCAGCGTGGTGATGGTCACTCAAGCGCTTTGGTCACGGGCCCGTCCGGTGCTATATTGTTGGAGATGAAAGTACAGCACATATATCCAAACAGAACACAAACCCCGTCCCGCTCAGCCACAAGCATATCTAAAGCTATTCTATTCTGCCATGTCATTATGCTAGTTGCCGCTGTCTGCTCAGCTAATCCCTTTATTGCATCACGAGTGTGGTTTATAAATCTTTTGCTGGTTATATTAAATATAATTTATCCAATCTACATTTTTATTAATTGTTGACCACAAGAAAATACTTGATTCAAACCCAGCTGCGATCTGATTGTGGATCCCATCAATATATATCCTTTCATCAAAGGATCCCAGGAGGAGGTCCTACTTTCTATGTGACAACTCACCAGTCTCTGACACATTTGATTGTTTACATATGTAGGTGAGTTCACAATCAGTTATCACCACACATCCATCAGATGTCAGCACGGGTCTGGTTTTGGTTCCTAAAATCCTCTGGCTGCAACAAAGAGGAGAGATTAGTCATGGTCTCTTTAGTTGTGACATTCTCTGTGTGGGAGCAGGAGCTAAGAGGCCCTACCCTGTATCCTGTCTTACTAGTCCTAGAAAAACTATTAGAATCCCCTGTGACTTCAAACTGAGGCAACCCAGGTCGGGATGACTTTGTTATCGGGGGAAACAGATAGTGCAAGTTACCATAAGACTCTTTCACCACATTCCCAGGTGGCTTGCATGGAGGATAAACCTGACAGAGAGTCAAAGCCTGTCAAGGGGAACGGAGTAGTTGTTAACCTTGGTTTGGCTGTCCTACAGGCATAACAGTCCTCTTTAGACCGTATACTGAATCCATTCCAACCACAGGTTAAAATCTATTTACTCCATCTCCATCTGTACTACTTCCTTCAGGTCTATAGTTTGCACTGTCTCACTACCTCCCTCAGAGAGGTTTACTCTATAGGGTGCCCCAGTTGAAGAAGATATCTCACTTGTCAGGTCTGTAATCTGTTTTAGCATAATTCAGACTTTCAGACAGTACCTACCCTTATATGGGTCGCACTGCCATTTCTGATAATTCCCTACTTTCACAATACTCCACCTGTCCCTAAACTGTGTATGGAGATTGGTGATGTCCTTCCCTAAAGTCCCTAGTATTTCCCCTTTCCCTACGTCTAGCTGTCTCCTATGCCTTTTTAACTTGTGTTAGGTTAACTACCACTTCTGGCTGAAACAGGAGGGTCCGTGTGTGTTAGGAATATGGCCCCCACAATCAGACAGCTACCTACCGTCGGGAGACCTGTGAATCCCCACCCTCGCCCTGAGAACATGTCAGACGCCAGAGGCCAACCCATTGCTTCACCTTCTATCGAACTCACACAGGGATGATCAGACAGGGTAAGGGAATCTTCGTTAAGGAGCCAACCCCCGAGCCCTAGTGGTGATCGGATCTTTCTCCTAACTCTGTGTTTGTTCGTCAGGTGTAGCTGGGTTTACCTTTTTGCAGTGAGTGACATGCACCCAAATGGATCTCTCAGCTATTCTGCTGGCAAAGGCAGTACTTGGTAGGGCCCTTCCCGCCAGGCCTGCTTCAGTCTCCTGGTTAGATAGAGTGGGTCACCTTCTCCTTTAGTTCACCTGTGGGGCACAAAACCTCTGACATACAGGTGTGGTTAATGAACTATCATACATGTTGTTGTTGTTTTTTTAAAAGTATTTTGTCCTCTCCTTCGTATATATTTAATATTTAATCCAA